CTTAGGGGCACGATTGCCAGACCGTGATCCAGATTAAAGAAAGCAAATTTTGCATTTAAGCTCTTACTAAGAGTGGCATATATAACTTTTGCAGAGCAGCAAAGGAAAGCATTTAAATGAATAGAATATAAATTACTAATTATTTTGTCTCGACCAAACCTTTCTCGAATATTTGATAGATTTTCGTCTTTTTTGTGCTTTATTATTTTTTCCAGCAAGGGATTCGCCGCTTTGCCAGCTACTAATTGATCTAAAAGCCACGTCCGGATTTCACTAAATGCCATGGCGTAGGTTTAATAGTAGGCACGTTGGTGGCTGACTAAGTACGGTAAGACGGGCCGACAAATCAAAAACAAAACAATGGTATTTTGCTGTGGAAGATGAAAAGTATCGACTTTCGGGACCGAACGACCACTAGATGGTACAACTAATAACAGGTAAATCTTCGTTCACACTGGTAAGGATGGCATTCAAATAAGTGTGCGGTAAGTATGAATGAGTTGCCCTCCTGTAGTTGAGTGATGCATTACCAAATGATAAAAGGATTTTACGCTGAATTAAAGGTTCTTATAAGGGATACATTGCAGATAAAATCACGACCAGAAAAGTGAACAAATTTATATAATTAACCACCACTAACCCGTATCATATATTGCGTTGGATTTGATCAAAGCCTGTAGGGCACTCTTCACCTTCTGCTGGGATGGTGGTATCTGTTGTAAATTTCTATAAATGGTACCCAGGTAGATGGAGAGCCTCTCGAATGTACAAGTCGGCTCCATCTGCGTAACCTGCCAAATGACTTGGCAGATTATTTCTTCTGGGCGCATGCGAAGGTGTTGCAAGGCCCGACTCACAATCACATTTCCGGCATCGGCTGTAAAGAGAAAAATAAAGGAACCCATATGCAAAGAATTAAGGCGGAAAAGTTGGGCCCAAATCTTTTCAAGGAGAAAGCGAAAAATAGGCTCTTCCAAAATATCTCAAAACAATAAAAAGGCATAACGCTTATAAATTATGCATAATATTGTGTAATTAAAGGAGATAAAAGCAAAAATTAAATTTTTAAAGACCCTGTTATCATAAAACGGCATTCCAAGTATAAACAGTTTTGGCTACCGAAAATGAGATCGACTTTGAGCTAGCTCAATGTGCCAGCTTAACCAGTGTCTGAAAACTAGCGACCTCCGAAAAATTGTCAAGCCTTTAGAGGTACCTGGTTTTTGGCTGGACACTCAGAGTGAGTTGACTGATCAGGGCACAAACTAACGCTGTAATTTGATTGTTCGTGGCAAAATCGGTACGATATACCCAATAAGGTCTCCAACTATATTGAATGCTATTGGATAAAAACCGAAATCATTTTAGGCGAGTGTCAAATGGAAATAGAGAAAGGTCTAAATCATTGCTCAAGTCACCTCTAGCCAATGACGAGCCTTGGCCCACATGGCCATGTGTTAAAATGCAAATGTTGTCACATGATGTGCACGAACCACCTGCGAATCCCATTGGAGGTATTGATGCTCCTCAGGTAAGATCGAAAATTAAATCCAGCCTTCATGAAAAAGCCATTTTTGGAGGCAAGACCAAATAAAATCCACTGGCGTAGTAATGCCTTTACCGATTTTCCTAGGAAGAATTCTAACGATCCGGGCAATTATGCGAACTCAGCCAAAAGAAAGTGAAAACGTCAATAAACAAGTTATGTGCTAATAATTATGATTAAATCAGACAAAAAGCCAACTTTTTATAACGTAGGACATGCCTAAGTCACTTGAATTCATAAAAAAATTTCAAAAACTTCTTTCTTTTTGATATTCATTTAGGAAAATCGCACAAAGGTTGTGAAGTTGGATTTAAAGATTTTCTAGCTATGTCTGGAACCTATAAACACGTGTTTTTATAAGGAAAGAGGAATTCTAGAACCCAAAGAAATACTCTACCAACAAATAAAAAGTATTCCGATTCAGCCACAAGATAACAAAATGGCTTGTTAAAGAGGTTCACGCCAGTATTCGGGGTAGCACCGCAAATCGGACGAAGTTAATTAAGAAAGCTGTGCACAATAATGCGTCAAGTAGATCAAAGTTTAAGCAAAAACAAAGCACCTCAGCAATATTCGCAAGCAGACAAGTGAATGTGCCCATTTACTTTCAACTGGAGTGTAGAATAAGTCGAGTACAGTGCTGTATGAGGTCAGTGTCAGACATAAAGTAAGAAATCAGCCATAATAACCGCAAGATTTGGCTTAAAGTATCATAGAAAAACAGTCTTGGCGTTTAGCTAGGTTTAGCCATGATACATGTGGCATCAATTTAGTGGGGCCTCCAGTGTTAGGAAAAGGTCCAAGCATTAAAAAGGCGTTAGAAGAATGATTATACCTTTAATTTCATCAATACAGTTAGTAGCTCTTCACGAAATTTCGACTGCTGAGGCTTGAAAGCCGTTTTACACCAACCAGATTTTTAACAGCAAAGTGGTCATGCAAGGGATGCTGGCAAATTCCAGATGCTATGAAGAGGAGAACTTGAAAACTTTTTGTCTAAATGCCAACATAATGCGAATGGTAACTATCAGTCCTGAATTGCGTCTGGCCTATGCAGATCAAACTGAGTGCAATTGTATCAAAGCCAGAAAGCGAGAGGGATGGAAAGTAAGGGAAATAATTTAGCGGTATTCTAGGCCGAATGAATCGATTCGCTAGATTTACCATATACCTTTAACACTGAAGATAATCGCACTCAGATTTAGGAATTCGCCAAATGCCAACGACAAGACTATTATCTAAAGGATTTCATCAGCCATATAGGGCTGCCTTGGAAAAAT